AAAAAAAAAAAAAAAAAAAAAAAAAAAAAAAAAAAAAAAAAAAGGCTGGGGATGTGGCTCAATGGTTAAGTGCCCCTGGGTTCAATCCCTGGTACAAAAAAAAAAGCCCAGAATTCTAAATATTCTCTTTCAATAAACTGTATTGGAGATTATTTAATGCCTACAGAATAGTTCAAGGCTGATCATTCCTAGCAATATTCAGACATGTCTATTCCACTGTCAGCATTTATAATCACTACACTTTTCCTTCAAGTTAAAATGCAGTACAGAGGAAAAAAAAAATGCAGAACAGAGTTGCCTCCCTAAGTTAGATATGAGCACATTATTTTGCTAGGAGAAAAATCATTTAGTGGCTATGCTGCACAAAACACCAACCAGAGCATAAATGATTTTGTAATGACCAAATGTGGTTTTAGCTTCCAGTCTTAGGAGTCTCACCTCACACGAGATTTGGTTTTATGATAGTGGTACAAGAGAATTATGATCACAAAGATTATGAAAATATGGTGCAGCTAAAATATTGCTTAATAATTAGAATAGGATGGATATCTTCTCCAAACCTTTCTTCCTGTTCCTGAGGTCATTGGCTGATGATGTCAGTTCAACTTCCTTCTAACTCTGAAGTCTTTATACTTGCCTTGCCCTTTACTTGTTCTGAGTTAACTGAAGCAATAAATATCTTTCCAACCTCTGCAAAGATTAAAAGGATGCAACTTGCACTTTCTAAGCCTATGCAAGGAAGGAGCATTCCCTGCAAAGATGTTTTTATTTTTCTCAACTATTTTTATTTCTTTCCTAGACTTTTTTTTCTCTCTGCCAGACTAGACACTGGTCACATGCTAGGCACTCAAAACATGCTTGCCTAACAAAAATATTAGGCCCTACGCATAAAGGAAATTAGGCCAGAAATGAGCACAACAAAGCTGAATGAAAGGAAATGAGGGCAGCCATTCTTCTGCCACAGCCATCAACATTCAGGGCCACATGCACCCGCATTCTGTCATCAGGAGGAGAGATGAAAGAGCCACTGACAAAAACCTGTGGCTCCTGAGAGGTCTGTGTGCTGTTTGCAAGGGTGATCTAAGCCATAATGCTAAATATACAATGTAAGAATTAACATGCCAGATACGAAAAATAATTTCACCCTCCTTGAATAGGATAATGTAGTGTTTGCAAAGTAATCTGCATATCATTTTCCTTCTACTGGAGACATCATCATGTAATAATACCAGAACACCACAACACGCACCTGCTCTGCAGGCTGGGCTGCTGCGTTGTTAAATGATGGACGATCCTTCAAATGAGTATTTGCTTCCGTAGAAGAATTAACTCTCTATTAAAACAGACAAATACAATCATGGATTATAAAAACTTACAACTCATATTAATACAAATGGATGCTGTTACCAGAATAACTTCAGCGGTAGCAGTATTAGGTTTTTTTGCAGCAATTAAAGTTCTTTGTCTTCATGAAAATAAATGCCATGTGTTGCTCTTGGCTCACCATGCTTTTTCCTCCCTCATCTTTGTAAACTCTGCCACAGTAGCTGTGTCCTTTTATGCAAATCATTCAACTTCTCTGTTCCACGGTTTCCTCAATGATAAAATGAGGAGGCTAGATGATTCCATCACTAAGAGCCCATTAGTTCACTACTTCTGAAGTTTCCATGGACTTGAATAATAATTTAACATTCCTTAACTTAAAARCACAGAAGTTTAGTGGTCTGTGTAGGGACCCAGATGGTATTCATCCTATTTAAGCTTTATCTATTCATCCAAACATGATGGTTTCTATTTGTACAGTGAGTCTACAGGACCTGTAGAATTTAGCTCACTGTTTAGGGGAGGATGGCACAACCTCTTGGTGGTGCTACATATTATTTCATCTTCAGGAAAGTACTGGTTTGTGCAGAGAAGTGTCATACTCTCCCTCTCCTAAAGCCAAGCATTCCAAATCGCTGTGGTGAGAGAGGACAGCATTAGAGTAGAAATAGGAAACTAAATAAATTTTGGGGGTTAGGAATGAAAACTGCAATCAAAGCTTGTTCCCCAAATTAAAATCTCACTTCTCTCAAAAGCAAGTCATTCCTTTCTTCCCCCTATCTGTTTCCCTTCCCCATAACACAGGACATACCAATATAGTGTGCAGTGGTCTGCAGGTGTCTAGAGAGGGCTGTGCTGTGCAATGCAGCTTCAGGCTAAAGAGACACTTGACCCAACAAAGGATCAGTACGACCTCTGTGGCAACTCTTTTTATTCTAGAATTTCCAAAGACAGGCAGAGGAGATGAACTAGATTACCTGGGCCTTGACCAAGAGGGGTTTCAAACGTTCCAGAACTGCCTCCTCTACCTTGTCCGCTAACTGGCTGGCAGAAATGCTATTTAGAAATAAAATTGAAAATTCATGTCAAAAGCAAGAAAATGTCCTATTTTGCATACCCACCACTCTAGGTGAAACTAAATCTAATGATTATAAGACCCAGAGTACTTCTCTAACTACAATGACCATACAAATTCCTGGAGATGTTATTAAAATGTAGACTCTGATTTAATTGGTGGAGTGAGGACACATTTCTGCATTCCCAAAAGCTCCCAGTTGAGGCAACACTGCTGGTTCTAGGCCCCACTTTGTGCATAAGGGCTTAGATAACATCTAAGGAAGTGTGTCAGAACTGGGGACATTGAAGACAAATTAATTGCCTCTAAATAGCTAAAGAGGGTAGTAGTTAAACTGTTCCCTTTTAAAATCTTACTGAAAATAATAGCAGAGATAGATATACACACTCAAACAGGAGGAGGAAAAACAATGGTTCTGGAAGACAAAGGACAAAATGATAATTAACTGAGCTGACCTGTGAATGCCAAAATCTAGGCCAGTGATAGAGAAACTAGGAACACACATAATTTGCACTTCTGACTTAAACAGGCATGCAACTAGTGGTACAAGGTATGTCTAAGTCTGAGGAAAGTGGGAAAGAGTAACTTAAAAATGGAAGAGTTTAATGATATCTGAGAAGTCAGATCCCCAGGTCCCTTGCCCTACTTCACACAACTGGACAACTGCCTCTCTAAGAGAAGCTCTAAGAGAAGGTCAGTTTGCTCATTCTCCAGAGTCTCCAGACTAGTGATGGCCAATCACAGTTGTATAGGTGCCATACTCAAAAGAGGGGAGCAAGTGTTCGAACTAAATGCTGAGTATGAGACCCTCAGCCCCCTCCCCCAACTGAGCTCTTGGGACACCCACATCCAGATCCTTACCCTCCAGGCAGAAGATCAAAAACCCCTTTTCTGGGCAGGCTGACCCCATCCCAAAGGAAAGACTTCAAGACCAATACAGGGTCAATTCACATGGCCCCAGAAGAAAGCTCAAGTTCAATAATTCTTTCATCAGAAGGTGCTGGAATAGCCAGATATCCATAAGAAATAAAATGTAACTGTGATCAGTATCTCATCTCAAATACAAAAATTAATTCAAAATAAATCAGACACAAACATAAAAATTAAAGTTATAGGCATTTAGAAGAAAATATCTTTGATATCTTAATTTGGGCAATGATTTCTTAGTTCACCAAAAAAAAAAAAAGCAAAAGAAAAATTGATAAAAATGGTCTTAATCAGAATTTAAAACTTTAATCACCATTCAAATAACATTAAAAGATACATAGGAAAGCCAGAGTATTGAGAGGAAATATATGTTGCACATATATCTGGCAAGGGGCTTATATCCAAAAACTATGTATGAAGAAGTCCAACCAATAATTGAAAACAATGGTGACCAAAAACAATGGGCAACTTATTTGAACTGACATTTCACCTAATAAACACTAAGAAAGGTGCTCATCACCATTAATCATCAAGGACATGCAAATCAAAACCACAAGGAAAGATCACCACAACCTCACCAAAAGGGCTAAAATGAAAAAGATCACCAAGACAATAGGTAAGCAGGGAAACAGGACAACTAGAAAAACACTCTTGTGTACTGCAGATAGGAGTACAAAAGGTTACAACTACTCTGGAAAGTTTGTATGATAGTTTTACAAACAACTGCCTATCTTACAACCCAGAAATTCTACTCCTAAGTATTTACCCAATAGAAATGAAAGCATGTCTACCAAAAAAAAAAAAAAAAAAAAAGTGTAAGAATGTTTATTAAAAACTTTATTTAAACTAACTAAAAATGGGAAATACTGCCAATGTTAAATCGAAGAAGAATGGATAAAGAATATGTGGTACATTCACCCAGTGGAATACCACTCAGCAATACAATGGAATCAACTACACTGTTAGAGGCACCATGTGGCTGAAACTCAAATACCTTTTTCTTTCTTTTTTTAATTTAAGGCAAGGTCTCACTAAGGTACTTAGAGCCTCATTGACTTGCTGAGGCTGGCTTTGAACTTKCAATCCTCCTGCCTCAGCCTCCTGAGCCACTGGGATTACATGCCCAGCTCAAACATCTTGTTAAACAAAAGAAGCCAGAAACAAAGGAATGGACTGTGAAGATTCTACCAGAGTTCAAGAATAGGCAAAACTAGGTCTGGGGTTGTAGCTCACGGGTAGAGCACCTGCCTGGCCACATGGGAGATAGTGGGTTCAATCCTCAGCACCACACATAAATAAGCAAAATAAAGGTATTGTGTCCATCTACAACTAAAAAATAAAATAAAATAAAAATAAATAATAGTCAAAACTAGTCTATGGGGCAAAACATCAGAAAGTGGCTGCCTCTGTGAGGGATTTGGTCATGTGGGGGTAGGGAATGACCAGAAAGAACACCTAGGAATAGTCTAGATTGATGGACATTTTCTTTATCTTGATTAGGGTTTTGGTCACCCAGATATATACATCTGTCAAAACTCACTGAAGTATAAGCCACTGAGTTCTTTGCATCTTACTACATGTAAAGTATACCACAAAAAAAAACAATTTTTTAAAAACCCTAAAACTAAATACAGATTCTAATTCAAATAGCAGAGTTTTCAATCAGTAATCAGTCCCCTCCATTTAAACACTAGAAGACAGCCAAGGATTACCAGCTGAGAAAGGAAAAGATTATGTAGAGCAGTAAGAAAAAACTATTGTTAATGTACTCAAAGAGAAGAAAAATAGCATAAAAGGAGACTAAGAGAGAGAAATTTGGAAAATATAATAGAACTCTTAAAATTTAAAAACACTGTAGCAGAAATAACAAATCTAATAACAGGTTAAACACTAAATATGAGGAAATTGCCTCCTGGGGTGCAAGGAGGAAATAGGAAAAACAGATTAAAAAAAATTCGAGGACCAATCCAGGAAGCCCAACATCCAAGAACAGAAGTTACGGAATAGGGGAATAGAGAAACAGACAAAGAAAACAAGTGCAAAATAAAGCAAGAACATTTGTCAGAACTGAAGGAAATAAACTGCCAGATTGAAAAAGGTCCACTGATAAATGAAAACACATGCACACCAAGTTCTGTGAAATTTCAGAACACTGAGGGGAGAAAAAGGGTTGCTTCTAGAGAATTAAAAAGCAAGATTCTGATTTCTCATTGAAAACAAGACAATGAAATAATACTTTAAAAAAATTCTGGTTAGACTTCTACTTTGGGACAGGAGGAATATATGTTCTTTTCCCATTTTTTTTTTTTTATTAAGTACAACTAGGAACCTTAGACATTAAATGTAAACTAAAGAAAAGGACTAGAAAAGGTAGAGCAAAGATAGATCAGCAAGGGACTCTGGGAACCAAAAAAAGACAAGGTGATGAGTTCCCTGGGTTTCCTTTTTGCCTCGGATATCCCAGAATCAGACACTGGAGAAGCCAGCAATCAGAAATGCCAATAGGTACAGACATACTTATGCACATAAATGTATAAGATTAAGTAAGATATAATAAAGGCCCACTCTCTCTAGCCAAAGGGACAGTTGAGGAAGATGGAAAATTGTCAGAAAATAACTCCCCAACTACAGCCAAACACCACAAAAGAAACCCGTGCCATGTGCCATTAAAGAGAGTAGAGAGCAAATAAGTACATGAAAGGATGTTCACCATGTACTAAACACTTAACACAACATCAAAAAGAAAACAGTGAACCAATCGATGCTGGCAGAATTGCAGAGCGACTGGACCCCTCAATCCTGCTGGTGGGGGTAGGGAGCCACTCTAGAGAACAGCTTGGCAGTTTTATATTAACCCAAACACAACTGCATATGACCCAGTAATTGTACTCTGGCATTTATTCTAGAGAAAAAGAAAACTGTTCTTGAGTGTTTACAGAAAACTTTATTCATAACAGTCACAAACTAGAAATAACCCAGATGTTCCTCAGATGTTTAACCAGTGAACAATTTAAAAAACAGTGGTATATCCATAACATGGAGTGTATTTAACAACAAAAAGAATGAACAAATGAAACATGCACAACCTGGATCAATCTCCAGAGAAGGATGTATGGGGAAAAAACAGTCAATCCCAAAAGGCTAGGCAACTATGTTTTCACTTATATAAGACCTGAAATAACAAAATCATAAACAGGGAGAACAGATTAGTGGTTGCCAAGGGTTACAAGCAGGTGTGCTCTAGATGGACAAACATGAGGGAACTTTGTGGTGATGGAAATGTTCTTGACTATATCACTGCCCATCAGGTGCTCCTTGACCGTGTCAAGGTCAATATCCTGGTTGTAGCACTATGCTATCGTTCACTAAAATACTGTACTAGGGAAAGTGGGTAAAGGGTTCCAAAGACTTCTTTGTATTATTACAACTTTGATGTGAATGTATAATTATCTCATAATAAAAAGTTTAATTTAAAAATTGTCAAAAATAATCTTCAATTAAGAGTTCTATAAACATTAAGAAGACTATTAGCAAATATAAGAGTAGAATGAAGACATTTTTAAGCTTGACAGGATTGAGAAGATTTACTTTTTATTCATCCTTTCTCAAGAAGCTAATTTAGGATTAAGGAAGCTAAATTTGTTCTATCAAAACAAGTAAGTAAACAGAAAAAAAAGTACAAGATGTGAAAAACCATACAAGCTAAACAGGCCTAGATGCTTGGCTCATCTTGCCCTGAAACTGATGAAATTCCCTAGTGTCTGCTGAGGATCCTCGTTTTACCCCCATTAAAGCTGTCAGAGGAGCTGAGAAGCAGAGTGTGACAGGGCAGCCTATGCCCCTGGTGAGGCTTCTTTCGAAAGCCCAGCAGATCCGGTTCACCTGTATCCCTGAAATGGTGAGCACGATCCCTGCCAGAACTCATTCATGATCTTGCTCACTGATTTCCTGGGACAAGGCTCCTAAAAATTCTCAGGGAAGTGCATGTCAGATTATGATCCAGACTCCACGCAACCTCTTTTCCTGAGAGCCTTCATCTAATGCCAGCAACACTGTTACCTTGGTTTAGCTAGATTGGTTACTCTCAGTTTTCGAAATTAAATAATATATTGGTAGGAATGCATACACAGGTGGTAGATTTATTTTTAAAAAAAGATAATGAAAAGATTAATACAGGAATCAGAAAAGTGGCTACCTCTGGGGGAAAAGAGGATGCAACCGAGGAGGGGGTCATTAGAAGCTTCTCCATTAGTGGCAATGACCTATTTCTTGGGTTGGGTTGCAAAGGTGTTCATTTCATGTTCTGGATTGTTCAAGGGTATTTATTATGTTCCACATGTCTGATATGTTTAATTTTTAAAAAATTTTTATTAGTTCTAATCAGTTATACATGACAACAGAAAGCTTTTCAATTCATTGTACACAAATAGAGCACAACTTTTCATTTCTCTGGTTGTATATGATGTAGAGTTGCACAACATGTGCAGTAATTTTTAAAAATAAAAGACACACAGAGGGAATAAATGGGTACAGAGGATTAAGCTTTTGCTATGTGGTCCACCTATGTGTGGGTAGGAATCACAGGGAATCAAGTTTTACACAACCTAAAGTTGCACCTTCTAATAGCTATAGATGACCAAGGAATGGAATCCCTCTGACAGTAGTAACCAGCTTGTCACAGAGGGTGTGTATACATATGCTAGACTGTTATTTTGTGGAGACAGTGTAGAGTGGCTTGGAAGCATCAGTTGGGGAAAAACGATCCTTCAAGTCCTAAGACTTTGATTGTATGACTTGAAATCTTAACTACAGACATCCTGGCCCTCTCATGAGAAACCACAACCCTTATAACTGGGATTGAATGTTCTATCATGAATAGTGTCAGAAATGCAGATGTTTCAACAAGTGTTCTATTCATTTGACTGCAGGACAAATGATTGTCAGAGCTGGAAAAATGAGCCAACTCTAGCAGCAGCAGCTCCAGAAAATCTTTTACTTTTAGTTATACATGGCAGTAGGATGTATTTTGACATATTATGGGAGTTACACTGGTCATGTATTCATATGTGAACACAGGAAAGTTATGTCTGATTCACTCTACTGTCTTTCCCATTCCCATCCCCATTCCCTTCTCTTTATTCCCCTTTTTCTAATCCAATGAACTGCTATTCTTCCCCAATCATGTCCTTCAGTAAATCTTAACAAATCTCTTCAAGCCTATAGTTAGGTGATAGCATTCTTAGGGGATGAATGGAAAAAAAGCAGTCTCATATGAAAACACTGCATTCAAGCTAACATGGAAAAATGAAAGAATCCATACACTCACTCACATGAGTAGAACACACACAATGTACTAACCTTCTGCCCTCAGAAGGACTGGCATCTGGCTAGAGAAAAGTATCTTTGAGGTACTTTTAAGACTCTGATCTTTCAGACAGAATTCCCTCAAATGATTGATGTTCTTTTCAATTCTTCTTCAAACTGCACATAAAGGAAACACTTCCTAGCAAAAACATGGTATAATATACATGTAGGCATGTAGGTGCTCATTCATTCACTTACTCATGTAATAAGGTTAGGCCTAAACAGTCCAGGCTGGTTGTTAAAACCCTAGATCAATTAGAATGGGAAGCTTCCCCTATTCTTCAAAAGCAAACACATACCTTAATTTTTGGAGTCGATCCATTTCTTCAGTTTTCAGTTCATTCAGTTCCTTTGTTCTCCTAGAAGTTTCAGCATCAAGCCAGTCGAGCCTAGACAACAGTACAAAGGGTCACCTCAACTCTCCTCAAAGCAGCCAGGACTCCCTGGGTCTACCTACAACCAGGACTCCACTATAGGCTTCACAGAATTTTAAGGAGGTGGAAAGCCAAGAAGCATAAGAAGCATGGGAGACTTTCAACTCTCTTTTAGAGCTAGATGATACAAAATAGGCCTAATTACCCTTTTCTACCTCAGAAACAAGTATTTACCTCTGTTTTTGCATTTGATCCATTTCTTTGGCTTTTAATTCTTCAAGTTCCTTCAATCTTTTGGAAGACTCAGCATCAAGCCAAGCAATCCTAGCAGACAGTACAAAAGAGTCAAATCCATTATGCCTCTACACAGCAGGGCATCATTACCAGAGAAACAGCGCAGAAGTAGGGACCCTTGAGCCCCAGCACCAATCCTGGCTCCATTAAGGACTCAGTAGGTAATGTAACTTGTCTGTACCCATAAAGCTCTCTGTTCCTATAAAGAGACATTTATGTATAAAACTTTGAGTTAGTGTGTAGAATAAGGAAAAGCTGCCTACAAATGTTCTCAAGAAAATTAAGCATTGCTGTATTCAGAATTTCTTGTTTGACGAAAACACAGCCCTTTAGGTTTAGATAAAGAAATGAATCCCCATGTAGGAAGAGAGTGAAGTCAAATAAAAATAAAAAGGATAGTGTTAACTCTAAGCAATTTTATTGTGTATGAAAGGGCTTTGATTCTTTTGGTTTAAGTTATGTGAATATTATCAAATTAATTAATGACCCCACTCTTTTTTAAGGTGCTGGGGATCAAGCCATGGCCTTTGCATGGCAGGCAAGTGCTCCACCACTGAGCCACACCCCCAGCCCCAACAACTTGCTTTCCCATAGTTGCATAAATGATTTCAGCCCCAAAGTGCAGAGCAACCTCTTTTCACCGTTCTTTCTTTGGAATGTTTTCCCCATATCCCCCCCATATTTAAATCCTATGTGAGTTCTAGTTCAATTTCCATCTCCTTCATGAAGCCTAGATCTTGGCAGTAAGAAGTAACCTCTCCCTCTTTTAAACCCTCTTTACTCTTCAGCAGTTTGTAGGGTATGTACCATGTTCTATCTTAGATTATAGCTAATTATACATTTTCCCTGCTGATTATAAATAAGCAGGGGCTGGAATTATGTCTTATTCACTCTTTTTTAAAGAACATCTCCAGAGCTCACAATTGTGCCATATACAAAACTAGCAATGGATATACAATCGACACACATAAAATTTTTGAACAAATTAAATAAGAAGGAATAAAAGGGGCTCATTATAAACTGGAGAATTTATCAGAAAAGTTTAGTAATCTACATTTTAAATAACCAACTTCAGTCATAAGAAAGACAAGAAGGAGCTTACTTTAGAGTCCACATAAAAGGAGCCCTTCAATTTTCAAAGATTTGAAAAATACCAGCACAAACCTATTTGATTCGTGCTTGACAACACTCAACTGACTTCCCTCTTGAGTATCTTCTTGCTGGAAAGACTGTTCTTTTGCAGCATCTGTGGGGCTAGATTTCACCCGTAGCCATGCAGCACTGCATAAAATGGAAAAGTAGACCTTTATAATCATTCAGTCCACATCCAGTGACTCATCCAAAGGTGCTGGCTCAGAGGAGACAAGAGCATTAAAGTCATGGTGATCTACAGCACAGAGCCCCAAATTAGAAGCTGAACCTGAATAAGTCTGAGATCTTCCAGCAGTCAGGGCACAGGGTCAAAGTGGAGACATTCCCTTTGCTTCAAAGAAGCTGTCACTACTTTAAATGAAACAACACTCAATTATAGGAAACAGAACTTCATCAAAACCTGCTTTTATATATAGAGAGATTTGAGTCACTAATAATATTCCATATTATATTACTAGATGTATCTCTATAAGGCCTAGCACCACTGTGAGCCAAAAAGCCTTATCCTCCACCTGCCATACATACACTAGAAGACAGTCCACTGCATATTTGATTTGTAATACAAACCTCAATTGCTGATGTTTTTACAAGGTCATCAAGTGAATTCCTATCTCTGTATTAATACTTACATATATTAAAATATAGAAATGAGAGTAATAAAAATAGACAAACAGAAAGACATAATAAAGCCAGTTATGGTACTAATCCTAGCTACTCAGGAGGCTAAAGCAGGAGGATGGCAAGTTTGAGGCCAACTGGACAAATTGGCAAGACCCTGACTCAAGATAAAATTTAAACAACTAGGGATGTAGTTCAGTGCACAAGGCCCTGGGTTCAATCCCAAGAACTGCAAAAATAAAACAAGACAAAATAAAGATCAAATCAGAAGACCAGATTTTAGTTCAAGCTCTGTTACATGAGCAAGACATTAAATTCTCTCAACATATTTTCTTCCATTTAATGAGGGCCAATAAGTAAGTATTACTATTGATTCAGAACCCACTTGGAATCTTCAGGAGAATCTTTTGAGCTAGGCTGTTAACCATGTCTTTTGACAGCCTCCCCAAAGCTGGATCCCTCTAGTCACCTACATTCCCCCTTCTCCTCCTCAAAATACTGTTTTTGCTTTCTTCTTCATATTATTCTACGTCCTGGTTCCTTCCATTGTATTGGCAAGGACTACTGAACTATGGCAAACAAGTTAGTTCTGTGTCACCTTTAACTGAGCTCCCAAAAGACTATTTCCTAACTAGACCCCGCTCCCCCTTGAATACAATGCTTCTCTCTAGCCCCATGGTAAGGTAACTCCTTATTTTCCAAGTACCATGAATGATGGTGACAAGACAGTAATCTCAGCACTATCCTAACTGCCTCCTGCAGTTCAGAAAGTGTCAATGAGATCTGAATAGTTTTATGGTTCATAATTATCTCAACTTACAATTTAAATTATCTTAAAATATTTACTAATTTGACAAAGATTTAGTGAATGCTATGATGTTCCAGGCATCGAACATTTAAATATAAGAAAGACACAGGCTGAGGCTGGGGCTGGGGTTGTGGCTCAGTGATAGGGTGCTTGCCTAGCATGTGTGAGGCATTGGGTTTGATTCTCGGCACTGCATATAAATAAATGATAAAGGTCATTAACAACTAAAAAAATATTTTCAAAAAAGGCGATGACACTGGGTACAATAGCACACACATATAATTCCAGCAGCTCAGGAGGCTGAGGCAGGAGTATTATGAATTCAAAGCCAGCCTCAGCAACATAGCGAGACACTGAGCCAACTCACTGAGACCTAGTCTCTAGATAAAATATAAAAAAGATAGCTGGGATGTGGCACAGTGGTTAAGTGCCCCTGGGTTCAATCCCCGATACAAAAAAAAAAAAAAACAGTCCCTGCTGAAAGCAGTGGTGCATGACTATAATCCTAGTGACCTGGGAAGCTAAGGTAGAAGGATTACAAGTTCAAAGCCAGTCTTAGCAACTTAGAGGACGTAAGCAACTTAGCAAGACCCAATAACAAAAATAAAAAAGGGCTGGGATGTGGCTCAGTGGTTAAGCATCCCTTGGGTTTAATCCCAGGTACAGAAAGAAAGAAAGAGAGAGGGAAGGAGGGAGAGAGGGAGGGAGAAAGAGAAAAGAAAAGCAAAGAAAAGAAAGACAAAGTTCCTCGTCTCAAGTAACTGTTGGGGGAAAGACAAAGGAAGCCCACAATTCTCCCTACAGTGATACATGTCCACTGGTCATTAGGATGCCACAAAGAAGGCTATTCCAACCATAACCAGATAGAAAAAGGAAACAGCAGGTTTGGACAAACTTCTCATGTATTACCCATATAAGCATTTCTTTTTTTCTTCACAGTACTGGGGATTGAACCCAGGACCTTACACAAGTCAAAGCATCTCTTCTTCTTCTTTTTTAAAAAAATATATATTTTTTTTAGATTTTGATGGACCTTGATTTTATTCATTTATTTATATGTGGTGCTAAGAATTGAACCCAGTGCCTCACTCACACTTGCTAGGCAAGTCCTCTACGACTGAGCTACAACCCCAGCCCATGTTAGGAAGAATTAAAGTTGCTATTCCACTTGTTCTAAGCTATATGTCACCTTTGATCTATGGAGGAAAATAAATTCACATACCCAAATCGTTCCTTGAATTTTTACATACCACTTAGGGGATGCTGGTGGGGATGTAGGGTTCGCAGGTATCCAGGGAACCCTGTGGCTTTTCACAGGCTGTTGGTTCATTTTTAATCTGGATGAAACTGTTGTCTGCTGCACCCTGCTTTTGCTGGGAGGGTGGCTGGGTCTATTTCTTTCAGCTTTGTGGAGTCCCTAAAAGAGGGAAATATGAATTATAAAGTTATACAAATATCAAATACCCTAGCTTCAACCTCTTCCTAAAGCTCCAAGTACCTCTCTGCTACTCACGCAGCCATCTATTCAGTAAAACTAAGCAGAAAGCACTGTGGCAGAGAGTAAGGAAATTACACTGAAGCAGCTCTGGAGACAGGAGGTAAAATTGGAATCCCTTGCTCCACCACCTTTTCACTCATTCACACACACACACACCGCAAATATATATTTATTTATTTATATGTGGTTTTTTCTAATTAAACCTCAATTTTTTTTTTTATATTTATTTTTTAGTTCTCGGCGGACACAACATCTTTTGTTGGTATGTGGTGCTGAGGATCGAACCCGGGCCGCACGCATGCCAGGCGAGCGCGCTACCGCTTGAGCCACATCCCCAGCCCAAACCTCAATTTTTAAATTCTATAATATTTGAAGGTAAATTATAAAACATTCTTGATAAAAATACTTGCTCTGTCTGAGCCTAAGGTCTAAATAGAATAAATGAAGCTATTTTATTTTTTCAAATATATATATTTTTAGATGTAGGCGGACACAATACCTTTATTTTATTTTATTTTTTTTATGTGATGCTGAGGATCGAACTCAGTGCCTCACACTTGCTAGGCAAGCACTCTACCACTAAGCCACAGCCACAGCCCCTGAATGAAGCTATTTAAACACTTCGGAGCATAAGACTTTGTTTCTAGAGAAGAACATCAAGTTGAATTCTTATAGGCTCAATCTGGACTTCCCAAAGAACCCCATCAGAGTTTGTTTTGGAAGGAATGAAGACTAGATCCTAATCCACGATGTCAGTAACTAACAACAACTTCCAAGTCTCCTTTTTCTGATGCCACCAGACAATTTACAGGTTTGCTGTAGAAGTACCATTAGTTTTTTTTTTGATTGAACTCAGGGGTGCTTAACCACTGAATAACATTTCCAGCCCTTTCTAGATTTTTTTTGAGACAGGGCCTCACTAAGTAGCCGAGACTGGCTTTGAACTGGTGATCCTCCCACCTCAGCTTCCCGAATCACTAGAATTATAGGGAGTCGGAACCATGTCTGGCTAGACAACACCATCAAATGGTAGTCACACTGTATAGGGTATGTACAGGAGGAGATACTCTTCTGGCCAGTTTTCTACTGTATGACATTAAAAAAGTTTTAAATCTAATTTAGTTTCAAACCAAGTTCTAACTCCACACATGCTCCCCTATGCCATATTAAAAAGCAGTCACACRGGCTAGAGTTGTGGCTCAGAGGTAAAGCACTCAACTACTAGCATGTGAGCCGAAAGGCACTGGGTGCCTCAGCACCACGTGAAAATAAAATAAAGATACTGTGTCCACCTATAACTAAAAAATAAATATTAAAAAAGCAGTCACACAAAGATACCCTTTTAATATTCAGTGATTACAATTGATCAATATTTATCTTTGTCAGGAACCAAATATTAAATCCTCTCAAATCTCATACTTCCCAGTTGGAAGCAGAAAACAAATAAGATGCCTGAATCTTAAAATACCCTGCCCAATTAGGACCTTGTTATCAAATTAGTTAAGATCTTACTGAACCAGGACAACAAAGAATGCTCTGTCCTAGTAACAATATTAAAAACTGTTTTTTTGTTAGAATATAAAAACAACCTGGACCTAAGCTAAATCAACTTGTGGGAAAAATGAAATGCTGGCCATACCACTTACTAGCCTGTATGACCTTGACAGTGTCAGACTAATATAAATGGGTCAAAAGAAAGGAATGGTTTCTTACTTGCTGTGGTCTTGCCGGCTCCAGAGTATCTTTTTTCCTAAATGGCACACTCTCAGTCACAGGCTTTGTTTTCACCACTCCTGTTTTTGCTAGGGTCAATGCCTCATCTTTGAAGCTTGCATTTTGGTCTGGAATTAATGGGACTTCTTCCGGAAGGATATCCACATYTAACACCTCAAGCTCCCTCTCCAACCTCTGGGTCGCTGGAAACTCTGCATTTGGCTGATTCTTATCTACACAGAGATTTCAGAAAAATAAAGGGAGAGAAATATTATTCAAGGCATGCTGGTTGAGAATGATTATCTGTAACATCCAATCTCCAAATACCTAGCCTACCCGTGCTGAAAACCAAGGTGTTTTGCTGTCAACTTGCGTTCCTGTGATGAACACTAGTAAGTTTTAAAAGCAGGAAACTGAAGCATCACAATTGACTTCCTGAGTCTTAGCACCCATATTTACTCATCTCCCTGGTCCCTATAGTCTCTAACTCTAAAAACCCTCTTGTGCTATTTCTGCCCTTCCTCCCTTTCTGCTACACTCCAAGGTTGGCCCTGCAGTTATCTTTCTACCATAATAGGAGCATCTCCTAGCTGATTCCTAGTCATCTTCCATCACACCTTCCCCTAGCTACCAAAACTGTTTTTCTAAAATATGAATATTTTAATGATGCTTCTTTAGTCAACATCTTTAAGAGCTCCTAATCTGACACAAAATAGTCTGAGCTCTATATACGACATTTTAACCCTCAATGGGAAATGCAAAAAAAAAAAAAGAAAGAAAGAAAAGAAAGAAAAAAACCTGTATTTGAAGGGGAGATAAAGGTATATTTAGAAAATTCAAGGAAATCAGAGTTCAAACTCTTATAACTAAGAAGAGGGTTTAGCAAGGTTTCTAAATATATGAACAACACAAAAGTCAGTATCATCCCCATTTATCAAATAATTAATTAGGAAATATAAGAGGAAAAATATCCCATTAACACTGGCAACAAAAACTATATGGCACTTAGGAAGAAATCTAATGAAAAATGTAATAGACTTTTACAGAAAAAGTCTGTAAAGTTTTGTTTTGTTTTGTTTGTGGGACTGGGGACCAAAAAAACCCAGGATCTCACACATGCTAGGCAAATGCTCTAGCACTGAGCTATATCCCACCCATTAAAGGGTATTTTTAAAGGGCATTAAAAGAATGTCTGAATAAATTGTTTTCATGATTGAACAGACTTAATAAAGACGTCAACTCTCCACAAAGTAATCTATAGTTCTGAATGCACATTCAGTTAAAATTGATTTTTTGGGTAGATCTAAATAGGTTGATCCAAAAATTCACATGAAGAGTAAATTCCAAGAAATTATCTAAATAAATTTAAAGAACAACAAAGTGGGGAGAAGGGTGGAGGTGGGAGTCTTTCTCTAAGGGAGATGAAGTCCTGGTGATAGAGCTGTAAGGCTGGGACAGCGTGGGAGCCATGCAGGAAAGAGCAGAATTGACATGACAAACCAGCGAGTATGAACTAGGATGTTCAAAAGCCAAGCTAAAACCACTGGTCTCCACAGATGAAAACTACTTAAATGCCAAATGGAATGAAGATCTGAATGTGCAAAGGAAATTTCAAATTAGAAAACACAGGAGGATATCATCTGACATCAGGGTAGAAAAGCCTTTCTTAAATTCAAAATATTATGTATTAACTGACATATTTGAATTTAATTATACTAAACAACAACTTCCTCTTGACAGAAATTCATCATAAAGTCAATAGTAGATATCTGTAATGCACATAAGCTTAATATCCAGATGATAAGAAGACCTTCTAGCCGGGCACGGTGGAGCACACCTGTAATCCCAGTAGCTGGGGGTGGGAGTGGGGCTAAGGCGGGAAGATCTCAAGTTCAAAGCCTGCCTCAGCAACAGCGAGGCACTAAGCAACTCAGTAAGACCCTGTCTTTAAATAAAATACAAAAAAGCTCAGTGCTTAAGTGTTTCCAAGTTCAATCCCTGGTATTCCCACACACATACACAGAAAGAAGGCCAATAATCTACAAGAAAAATAATCCAAATTGAGAAACAGGCAAAGTAATGAAACCAGCAATTAAGGCAGAAAATATCAATTGTCAATAAAAACATGAAAAGATGACTGGGGCTGGAGTTGTGGCTCTGTGGTAGAGTGCTTAACTGGCATGTGTGAGGTCCCGAGTTCAATCCTTAGCACCACATATAAATTTAAAAAAATGAAATAAAAGATCCATTGACAAAAAAAATTTAAAAAAAAGAAAGAAAAGATGACTGCAATCACTAGTCTTAAGAAAGATTTAAGTAAACGAGATACCATTTTATATCTACCAGGGTGGGGGAAATTTTAAGTATACTGATACCAAGCACAAAGAAGCGGTAGAAAAACAAGTATTCTCACAAACTACTGGTGCAGGAGTGAACGGCCTAAGGACTTTGGAGAGCACCTTATGGCTCTAGCAGAGTTGACAATTTGTATACACTGCAATCCAGCAGTTACACTCACAGGTAAACACTCAGCCTAAAGGAACTCCCACACACATGCACTGGAACACAGGCGCACAGGTATTCACTCCAATTCGCTGCTGCTTTATAAGCAAAAACACAGTCAGTGCAGTGGCATTTGCCTGTAGTACCAAAATGGGTGGCTGAGGCAGAACAGAAGGGTTACTTGAACCCAGGAGTTTGGGGCCTGCCTGGGAAACATAACTGGACATAGTCTCATAGAGGGGGGAAAAAAAAAAAAGCAAGAAACTGAGAACAACCCAAATATCCATTGATATATAAGAACCACTAAAAAATAAACTGGTATGTCCATATAAGGGAGAACTATACAACAGTTAAATTTAAAAATTGGAATTCACCTATCAATAGGACCAAATTTTACAAATATTAGTGGAGGTAGGCAAACAGAATGGCACATACTGTAAGATATCACGTGCGTACCACAACACTTTATATTTTTCATGGATAGATACGTAAGAAATACATACTTAAAAATAGAAAGGATTTGCCTTTATAATGATAACAATAGTAATCTCCAGAGAGGGAGGGAGGAAAATGGAATGAGAAAAATATTTTAGGGATTTCAACTGTACCTATCATATTTTATTTTTGAAAAAAATTTCCAAAGTAAATAAAGCAAAAATGTTTAAATCTGCATAGTGGATACACAGAGATTATTATTTTCACTATTTTATATATGTTTAGAATATTTTACAATCAAAGAAAACCTACATCCAGACTTCCTTAACAATAGCAAGTCAAGGGTCAGATTCCTCCGTATCACTTTTCTTTTAATCAGAGATGCTTTTCAAAGCCACAGAAATTACACAGCAAGGACATACAAGTCAGAACAGAATACTAACACTGGATCCTCAGTCTGTAATATATTTATTACCTTCCCAGTTTACATACATTGAATCACCTCTGTCATCTTTTCCAGTTAGGCTTTATGTAAATAAGCAAGTAAACGCAGTACAAGTTTCAGAGGTAGCTGAGTTTGAGGTCACTGACAGAGGTAGGGTGGGAGCCACCAATCTTTTGGCTGACAAGTTATACTAATGCAATCAACCATTGCRAGTACATATGAGAAGTCATTAACAAACTGCACCAGCCAACAATTATGTAAATCACAAGACAGGTGATCCAATCAGGCTCAATTAGATATCCTAAATAAAGAAAGCACAAACAGGTTTTCCCATTCATGTGGCTCTCCACACAAATTTTAGGGGTCAGGTGGAGAGGAGAAACCTTAGGAAACTGGAAAAGGAAAATTAGGTGAGTGATATCTAAAATGATAGAGAAAAATGTGACCTTCAGATTATAAGGGCAAGAAAAGCCAAAAATAAAATGAAAGTCACCATATTCTTCCCCATGAGCAAATGTATTAAACACGAAAAGCAGTTAACAATAACACATTTCAAYTCATAATAATGATGATAATGATGATTATAATCATCCCTCACATTTTGTACACTTTTCCCATTTAAAACGTAATTTGCATTCACCATCTCATCTGAGCCTCACCACAGAGCATGACTTACCCTAGAGCAAGCAGAATGGGATTACTAAAATTTTTCAGATGAGGAAATAAAAGTGTTTTGTTCAAAGTCACAGGGAAAGTAAGTGGAGAGTCAAGTCTTCTAACTGGGTCCAGGGCCAGGCCCATTCATTCTGTGATGTCAGGGACTATGGATCTTTTCCACATAAATATGTTTTCCAGAGAATGAAAGCTTACTTTTTCATAACAATACAAAATTCCTTCCTGCTTTCTTATTTAGAATGTGCCTAACATAATCTAGACTTTATAAATTGGAGATTAGGAACTAAAAATAACCTCTTCCATCTTCATAGCATTTAGTAATTATCTAATTTGCTACTTAACAACTAAGTCACATGAGAGAAGGACTTTTATCACCATTTGAAATTTTTACCAGATGAAAACTTTAAGGTTCACAGTGATTGTGATCACAGGTCTACAAATTTCCAAAGTAAGTAAAGCAAAAATATTTAAATCTGCATAGTGGATACATAGAGATTATTATTTTCACTATTTTCTATGTTTAGAATATTTTACAATCAAAGAAAACTTACATCCAAACTTCCTTAACAATAATAAGTAAAGGGTCAATTCCTCTGTAGCACTTTTCTTTTCAAAGCTACAGAAATTTTCCCCATTTGTCTTTTAGCTTTCCTACATTTGACCTCATGATGGGTTTTAGATTAGCAGGGTTGGGTTTTTTTTTTTTTTAATGGCTTTATTTATTTTTATGTGATGCTGAGGATCGAACCCAGTGTGCCTCACACATTCCAGGCAAGCGCTCTACCACTGAGTTATAGCCCCAGCCCCAGATTAGCAGGTTTTTCAACTTCTCTCTGAAGCTAGTCTTCATTTTTCACTAGTCAGTTGAAATTATCTAACTTTTAATCTTCTAAATCATTTAGGAAAACACTTCTCTGTATAGAGGACTGGAATGTTCTCTGCACTTCCTCTAAAACATCAAAAGTGAGCTYCCCAGCACCCAGGATCCACATCACTGTAATCTATTGCTTAGGAGTCCTTTCTTATTTCTTCATAGAGTCTTTGAACAAAAGCTTAAGTGCCTAACTATGTACTAGACAGGGCTCCTCAGAGAGACTTATAAAGACAAATAGACATGATGCTCATTCTCAAGGTAAAGGCTGGCAAAGGCCTTCTGATTGAAAGGAAGGATATCCC